CGGGCCGGTTCTAATAATAAATCAATATCATCCCAGGGGCCACTGAAAACATTCTCGCGGGCCGGCACTTTGACATATGTGCTATAGACCCTTTGACATTCTACATCATCAAAAGCTGTGCGTGCATCACTGGTGCAGAAACAAACAAAAGAACAAACAAACAAAAAATGGGAGACACCCGGTGATGTGAATTTAATGTCATGTGAAATTGTTTATGACTAGTTTCAAATAATGACAACAGGTGAATCTCTTGTGTATAGGGGTGTACGAATCAGATTCTTAATTCTAAGCAGAAACAGGCCATTTCAAAAACAACGGAGGAGCTTGTGGCTGCACGCTATTAAACACAGACTAGACAGAGGGTATCATCGCGTTTACGGTGCTCGTTGAACTTAACTTCTGTGTCTTAAAATGTTGACTAAGTGGTCAGGAATTGTGGAATAATGCCAAGGTGATTGCTACGAGTGATAGCTAGTAATTGACGGTGAAGTCATTCAGCTATGATGAGCTTTGGTGCACACGATCCTGAGCTCAAGCTCCATGTATTTAAGCTTTTAATTCAGTCGCACTGTCATTTGTGAGGTTTACCTTAACCGTTTTCCCCTGGGAATCCTAGAATCCCTCAGCAATGTAAAAATTGGCCTACAGTGTGGTTTCTCCACTAAATAAAGATGAACATTGGGTCACTTTGTAACGTCTTTCTCAACTCAACTCAACTCAACTCAACTCAACTGTATTTATAGAGCACTTTCAAACAGCCATCGCTGCATACAAAGCGCTGTACATGGAGCAATTTAACATATACAACAAACAGTAAAGCAAATTGGTAATAAAGATGGTAGAAAGCACCGAACAGCAAAACCAAGAGCAAATCTAAGTCATGCTGAGTCAAATGCCAAAGAATACAAGTGAGTTTTGAGGCGGGTTTTGAAGATGGGCAGCGAGGAGGCTTGCCAAATGTTCAGTGGGAGGTCATTCCAGAGAGAGGGACCAGCAACAGAAAAGGCTCGATCCCCTCTGAGCCTCCGTTTAGTTCTTTGTACTTCTAATAATGTCTGGTCCGCAGACCTGAGGCGCCGGGCAGGTGTGTAGGGGCGGATGAGCTCAGAGAGGTAAGGTGGCGCGAGGTCATTTAGAGATTTGAAAACAAATAAGAGGATCTTGAAAATAACTCTAAAATGTATGGGAAGCCAGTGAAGGGATGCCAGAGTAGGAGTTATGTGCTCC